TAAATAATGAAATAAAGGAATTATAAATGTACATATTGAGTTTATATCCTCGCTATACGAACAGATATACTTTTCTTATTTATTTAGACGGTCGTTTCGTAATTTCGTCTCGATTTTACGCGTCAGTGGTCTGGCTCGTATCTTTCATTTGTTCAGCAACGAGAGTAAGAAAATGGTCCGATTCGCAACGAATGAATCGAAGATTTCCATTGAATTTAAGAGGTGAGAAATCCGAAGTAAAGAAAGCTTCGCCGCTAAAGTTCATGAGAAAATTTAACGGAGATAAGGGAAGGAAGTGAAATGGGCTGAACGTGCCGGTGGTGAAATAGAAGGAGCATAAGTAGACAGAAAATTATGTTAGGGAAGGGAAAGGTTACACGGGAAAATCGAACGAGAATAATTTCCACGGTGCACGGCGGCGATTCAACCTGTTTCGCGCTGAGCTAGAAAAAGGCACTTTTACCAAAAGTAGAAGCAATATTTCACATTCGAGTTCTATTTAGCCCATCAATCACCGCAAAGTGTATCGGACGAAAATATATACTTTATTTTAATAAAAATGGAAATTCTCACGCGCCATTTTGAATACAAATATTGAACAGAAATTAGATCAAATTTTTCTACAAACCGATCTTTTCACCTGTGTAATTTCCAACTTTTTATCCATAAAGATTTCGGTATAATGATTTTATTTTAATAAAAATGGAAATTCTCACGCACCATTTTGAATACAAATATTGAACGAAAATTAGATCAAATTTTTCTACAAACCGATCTTTTTACCTATGTAATTTCGAACTTTTTATAAAACATAAAACATAAAATGGAAAGTCAGAGGGAACCGCTATTACAAATTTTAACAAGTTGAAGTATGAAGAATATTTATAATTTATTTTAAGCTATTTCCCAGTTACAAACATTACATGAACATTGAATTTTTCATGATGTACAACTGTGAACTTCAAAGAATATCGCGTTATTTTGTATTAATATTTCTAGGTTTCATTTATATTTCACCTACACCGACCACGATAAATCGACGAACCTTCTGCTACCGACTCTACACCTGAGCCACGATTTACGTGAAAATCCATTCAACGCGGGTTCATTTTACGCGAATGAAAATCGCGTAAATAGAGCGTGAGTAGAAGAGAAAATAAAATATTGGAAATAAAAGCTAGTATAAGTTTTAGAAATACGTATTCCTTTCAAATAGTTAAAGAAAGAAATAATAATGATATTTCAAAGAACAAAATGATGAGACTATGAATTTAATATTAAATATTGTACACAGTATTAACGCACGAAACATTAAAGTAAAATAGTTCTCTCCTTCAATGTACGCAAGATATCAATCAAATTTATTCAGTGTTACGAAATTCAGACAGCGCATGAAAACTACCACGTAAATAGCGTTTTAATTTACCACGTGAACGAGACACTCGCGTAAATCGAGGAGCCCAGGGGACAATTCATTCGAGGAAAGATACTTGATTAACTGGCTGTTTCGATGATGGTGTCTTTAAACGGGCACGATGTCGACTCAACGACCGAAAGAACCGGGTAAAAGCCTTCTTCCCGACCGGCAACACCTACACCACAACAATTTTCCCTCTTAAGCCACTGGGTAAGCTTTATCTACCATCGAACCGAGAAATTTCCGTAGCGGCGAAGGAGCGAAATATAAAGGAAGCCGTGAGCTGCAATAAAACTGAGGAAAGAAGGAAGGAAGACAAATGGGAACGGGAACGGTGAAAAGGCACGGCATCGTGGAAGGGCGGCGAGGCGCGCGGAGGGTGGAAAAAAGAGAGAAATTGAGGAATGCAACGATGCCGAAGGAAACGGGGCTCATTTCCAAGCGATCCCGCGGCAATCCGCAAGCGTTTTTCGGTTGATCGACGTTTCCTCGATTTTCCGACCTCCTCCTTCCCTTCCTCGTACCTTTCCACGGAACCATCCGCCGATAGATCCACCGAAACATTCTTTTCACCGGTCTCGTGAAAAACTCTCTACGTGACCCCCCATTCTTGGATCCTCCTTTCACACTTGTTATAGTTTGCAAAGGATTCGTTTGCGATTACTATTGCTCGCGAAACTTAAAGCGGGCATAATGGAACCGTTTATTTGTCATTTAAATCGCAAGG